GTAAATAAATAGATAAATAAATAAATACGCGACATTCAACAACAAATATGGGATACCTTTGATTACTGACGTTGTAAATATATTAATGTAACCAAGAAAATTTAAGATCGAAAGAGCCTGTATTGACCTCTCAGATTAAATAATGTCGCAAATTTCCCATGTACCGTGCATTGACACTCATGCTCATTGACTGTTGATCCAATCATATCTATTGTTTCAGATCACGTGTCACTGACAAGCATGAGCATATTCATATTCGGTTATGGTTGTCGAAATAAGAAACATAATTAATTTTTATCCAGATTCAGTGTCGTCGAATGTTTTATATTTTTCCCAGGCTAATTAATATGTTTTTTATATCAAGGTTGAGCAGATTGGTTCTATGCTAGTCACGCGCGTTAAAATCTTTATCCAATCTCACTCCTTACAGATCCTGATGACTTATATCGACAGTAGATTTTATTAAAATAGACACATATATATTGATTTACCATAGTAGCGAATAACGCCTTCATTGTATTCTCAGGTGCGACCTATCAGTTACTGCACAAGAACAGGAGCGCAACAAGTTTACTGATTTTAGTGACGATTAATTACGTATAACTAACAATTTAGTGTAAGAATAAACGTAATTGTATTTCCCTGCCATGCTGGTTGGTTAAATCAAAGACAATATGGACTACGCCATCATTGCCTTGTGGCGAGAACGAGAAACCGGCGCAGGCATGTGACGGTGAATTATATTAAATAGAAACAGGGACTTAGGAGCAATGCATAGGGAATTTTCAGGGCAAACTTGAGACTATTGTAATTGAATCAAGTGTCAAGGTTGATGGTCGAAGTACACAGAACAGCCTCAAGTACAACACAAATATTACATTATCAGGTCTCGCCAATGGTCTCGATACGAGGGTCAATAAAGTGAAAGATATATGTGTCGTTGGCCTTCACCTGTTGTCTTTGTCAAATATAATTGTAGCTAGATTGTGATCATTATATCATTTTTCAATTCATGCAGCAGATCGGCTAGAAAATCGAATCCTTGGAGGGCAATATATTATGATTTTCCCTGGCGAAACACTGTAGCTTTATTGCCTCAAAGAATTTCGCTGTGGAATTACACATCGACTATATATATACATATTTATAAGTAAAAATCGGGATAATAGATTTTGATCGGAGTAGACATAATCATAAATCATTTGCAATGACAAGATAAGTTCATATAAAGATACCGGCCGTCAACAACAAACAAAATCATTTCTTATTGTCGTGACTTGTTGCTAGGGTTGCGAACCTTAGAAAGCGTTTGATAAACGAGGTGGAAACGCATAGCGACAGAATTATTATATTGAAATACGTATGTGTGGGCGTAGAAGCATAAATATATTTTCATTTAGCGTAAACTGGGAAAAATATTAATATTTTTGTTTTCCATTTCGTGATATTACTCAGTAGAGGTGCCATGGGTCAAACAATGTAGTTTTACTTACAATTGTAATTGTATGATTTAGAAAATGACTAAAAGATAAATACAAACTCATGTAAACATTCATGTGACATATGTTACCATACTAGACTGCCGATAATGAACCCACAAAACACAATCCATCACTGCTTACTTTTTTATAATTTCGAGCTGAAGACATGTGCAGTCATTAGTCCCACTCATGACACAAAACACTTCATGCAAATAATTCAACTCACTGATTCGGATACTGCTGGATCTGTCTACCAAATGAATACAAAACGTGGTAACCAATAGTGAAAACACATACATACTTAACAAAGCTGTAATTTTGTCGTGAAGACTGACAAAACTTGCAAGCCCAGTTAATGTCAAGTGACCGCAATGACTACTGTGCGTCATCACTTAAATAATTTTAGCAATTGTTAATCTTTTAATCCTCTGTCTGGCAAAAAGAGTCGACTATATTGATGTGTTCACTCTCAAATCAATGTTCAAAGTAGAAGTTTGTTTTAACTAAAACAAGTAATACAAGTATGTAAAATTAAAATGCTGAAAAACAACTGATCATAATGTGATTACGTTTTAGTAGTACTTCCATTTATTACCAGCATATTGATAATTTGTTATTTTGAAATGCGCTAATATCAACCAAACCATTTTCACCACAGGGGTGTCAGTAGTCATTTAAAAACATGTCATTCAATAATTCATACAAAGATAAAATTACAGCAAGTTTATAAGAACAAACATTTTTTTTTGAAAAAGTGAGCACAGCATACTTCTTCTGGGAATAGAATAATCTTATTAATTAAGGTTTTTTACCAACAAATTTACCCTTAGCATCGAGTAATCAATATTTTTTGTACTCATGCGCAGTTCAGAATGACACTAGTTTGTTAAATATACAATACAATGAGGCCACTTAACTTGTATATAAATTACTGTAGTAATACATTCATTGAATTACAGATATACACATACAAATAAACGGAATTATTATACATCTGTAACCGTAGCGCCATGAGTTACAGCGTGCCATAATTGTGCGGCATTTTACGGGGTATTTTCATCCTACCATAATAGAAAATGCGAATTCTAAATATAGAAAGATTAATAATAAAAAAAACATGGCTGCTGTCCAATGTTCTAACTGTTATGCCAAACGGTATTATTAAGTGTGGATACATTATAAAAACGTTAATATTAATGATTTATTTCCTCTCTATTACTAGAGGCAAATGTAATATATTTACGTGCCGACAGGCACTTTTCAATGTTTGTTTGTAACGAACGAGGTCACACACTTATTAACAGCCACATGGCACAGATCATCGTTGATCAAAGTGCCACGCGAAAGGAAACTTACACTGACAATGAAAAACAGAAAAATCGTTACATGTGGTCCAGAAAGAGTTTGTAGACATTACTATTTGCGCTTTTTGATTATGTCTGGTATGTCTGCTTAAGATCTTGGTTGTTTTCAGTTACAAATTCTTTTTGTGACGCCCTGTGCAACGGGTGATTTACTTGAGGAAACTAAAAATCGTGAACAAGTGTCACTGACATACATTTTATCAAATAATCCATGACATACTTCTTTGTCTCAAAACTGCATTCCAGGAAATTCATTGGAAGAAACTGTGATTTTTGTCTCATCTTTTAAACATTTTACAGGTCTTCTCAACCACTTAACAACAAACAAATCGGCATTCCAAAACTCCAAATCTTCGAAACAAAAAAGAAACATCAAATCAACAGTTTGGCTCCCATCGAACTTTAACGATGTTAAAATATATAAATACTGTGATAATAAATATCGGAAAAAGTTCTCTAACAAAATTGTTAATCGCTCCAACAATCCAAACATGCTGAACATACTGTGGCACAAAATCCAAAACAGAACGTTTTGCGATTTGAAAATTGTAAAGCTGGTGCTTTGTTAAGTTAAAGCTGAACAATAAATTTGTTTTGAAATTCGCACTCTCCTCAAATTTGTGTATCAATCCGTAAGTGCAATTTCCTCTTACAAATGATTGACAGCAGTGAAATGAATGCGTTCTAAGATTATTGTATAATTATGCAGATTCATTACGTCTAGTCATCTATTATATATTGACCAGTTAGTCTTTCAGTTTATTCAGTTTGACTGACACACTCTCCGTGATGTATATTTACATTCAAACAGTCGACATGAATGAGATAACAGCATAATTACAACTACTTAAAAGAATGTCCTTTCTGTACACACTAACCATGAACATGTTTGCGATATAATACCTCGCCAATTCACTGAATTGTGGTACCAAATGCATAACACAAGTTGTTTGTTTTACATCAAAGCTATGTCATTTGTGGTAAAACTTAATCTGAAATCATTTTTCTTGAACAATACTTTTCATTTTTAAAAAACAGAAACATCTACAATTGATTAATTAATATCAGTAGAATAACGGTAAAGGCTTGGATGACATACTTAAGCTGCCTATAAGACAAGCAAGATTCAAAAGACAATCTGTATAAACAGATGATTTAAAGGCTGCATCAAATATATACCATGTTGGAATCGTAACACAATTGTATCATCATGCTGTATTCGGCACTCACCAACAACATTCAATTTCTTTAGTGCATTCCTGTAGTAAATACCTTTCATATTAAAGTGGAGATTTATGGGGGGTAGTTTAAAGTGTCGCTAAAACTACAAAGATGATTATAATATTCCCGCAGCCTAAGTTCGTTTCACACATGTCTATTAACCGTCTCACATTGTAAAAACACGCGGATTGAATTGACGCCCAAATTAATAATTATGCTACATTCCTCAAATGACTTGTTGGCTCAACATGAACATACCATGTGAGTATATGAGGTAAACCGAACATAAATAACTTATGATGACGTATATAATATAATACGTCGCTCTATGATACATGAATGTGCGATAAAAATGTACGATTTATGTGTTTTTATTTTTTGCGTACAACAGCTACATAACGAAGAGCGAATATCTGGTAAACCTAGAAAGCGCCATCAACTGTACACCGAGTACTGATCGAAACATATGTTAGCAATTCAGAGCATAATTGCCCATCATGTGATTGCCCGTCTAACATCCTGAGTTTTATATACACATTAGGTGAGTACAAATAAGTATCCTAACATGTGTTCATAATACAATGTTTGTTTATATTGTTGTCGTATACCATTACATTAATCGGCTTTTACTCTCCATATGTATTGATCAGTGAGACGCATTCAACGCGTATTATTATACACAGTTTGCAACAATTATACTAATTAAATCAAATACATGATTGTATCGTGTCTGACTCTTTGTAAATAACGTATATAAGTGATTGTTCTAAATTACCTGCCATAACTTATGCAGGAATCGACAGCGTTACGCGATGTTGTTACTGTGCTATTTAGTCTAGATAACAGTGTTCTCATAGACTGTGGTGTTGGCAACGGAACATACGGTATGCTGTTACGCTAATTACGAATGCTGTACCAATACCATGTCGTACGTTGGTATACAACTGACCATGTTTTAATTCGCAGTGATGGTGTCTCAGTGGTTTTACATTGGTCCTGTATGTATAATTATTCGCTTTAAGAAACACATCGCTGTGAAACAAAAAAGATGAATCTCACAAACGTATACGCCGTTAGAATATAAATCATGTAACACAATATTAATATCGTTTTTTATTATTTTCATACAGACGCGTACAAGTCTTGAAAGTGCGTTATACCTTACCTCAGTATGACATTTTTACGTGCTGCAATTATAACAATACTGTTCAGGTAGGAAATAAGGCCAACAAACATTAATACTGCACGTTTCTCGTCCAACAATCACTTGACATACAACACATATAATAGCATGCCATCTTTACGAGAACTGTCTAGACATTACATTAAATTATTCAGTTTTGATCTGCAAATTATTTCTGTGTTAATGACTGCATAATTTCATGTTCACTGATAAGAATTGTTACCATGTATAGACACATACGTTTGTAGAATGTATTAGTTATCTTCCTATAAAATATTCAACTTTGTCATTTTCATCGTAGCATTTAAAACTTTACGACAGACGACAATTTGATGATATTGTCTGGAAAAAATAACCATGCGGAGTATTGATAAAATAAAGAAGAATTGATTGCATTCTAGCATTTTATTATTCGTCTGTCATTGTATTCCCATAAGTTACAGC